GGGAGGGGCAGGCGCAGGCCCCGCCCACGGCCCTGCGCCCGGGCCAGCTGCGTCACCTGCTGGGAGGATACTTGCGAAGCGGCGACCACAGCAGGCTCGGGGTCACTCTGCAGCTGCCCCAGGTCTACGGGGACGGGGGTGCAGCTCAGGCAGGGCGGGAGGTCTCAGGACTGCCAAGCGCCCGGGGACCCCTGGCCCTCCACCCACCCGCTCCCATCCACTCCACCCCGGGCATCCACGGCCTCTCCGGGTCCCCACACCCTGGTGACTTGGGTCCTCACCAGAGAACAGGGAGTCCAGCAGGTCCTGGTTGACGTGGCTGGGGCTGGTATGATGCACAAGGAAGCCTGGACCAAGGTAAACATGTGTGTGCTGGCACCACGCCCCCAGCAGGGAGAGGCTGGCCCAGCTCCCAGAGCTCTGGGGACAGGCACACTGTGACACCCGGACTGCCTCACCGATGAGCACTATGGCTGCCCGGCGCAGGGGGCCCTGTGGGCTCTGCAGGTAGCCCTGGGTCTGGCTCAGGAAGCTGGGCACATGGCTTGGGTACCACTGAACCTGGGGACAGAAGAGCTCATGGCAGGACACGGGGGCCAATCCCATAGGGAGAGGAGGTGGCAGAGGTGAGCCTAGGTGCTAGGGTCCCTCAGGAGCCCTCAGAGCAAGGGGCCAGGGCCTGAGGTCTTAGACCTTGGCTGGGAGGGCCTTGGAGACTCAGTTTCGGAGGAGCGGCCCCGGTGTGTACTGGACCAAGTGGGCAGCTGACCACACCCCATCGCTGACACTGTCCTCCCCTACTGACCAGTCGGTGGCAGACGCGGCTTAGGGCCTCGGGGCTGTCATAGTGGGCCACAGTGACAATCTCCTCTAGAAGACTCCAGCTCAGGGCTTGGTCACAGCGGGCCAGGGTCCACTCTGAGCTCTGGTACAGGAGAAGGGAACTGCATCAGAGGTCCAGAAAGTGGCGGAGGTGGCCCGGGAAGTGGCCAGCGTGAGGGATGGAGACGCCCAGGGCAGAAGGCCTGGGAGCATGGGAGCCCAGGATGCCTGCATCCGAGGTCCTTGGGGAAGTCCCTGGCGAGGCAGTGGGGTGGGGGCAGGTGGGGTTGGATGGGGACACTGGTGGGACAGTCTTGGCGGGCGGCTGACCTCAGCAGCGTCCAGGCTGGGATCGTGCAGGCGCAGCAGCAGCGGCACGAGACTCTTCAGCACTAGCTTCCGCAGGGGACCTCGGAGCCCCACGCGCAG